CAGTGGTTCTCTAACTGATGTCAGTTCATGATTAAAATCCTCCATCCAATCAAACAAAATCCCTACAAAACCAATACTCGGAAATTAATCTGATGCTCACTAGCGATTGGTGCTATTCAGGCAGTTAAGCTGTGAAGCCATGACCAGTAGGATACAGCAGGTTGAAGATGAGGCAGTAACTCATCGAAGAAGGCACTGCGAAATGGTCGCGCTATGTCGTGAATTGAAAGAAGTTAGGATTCATGGGCTGGTCATTGGATCGAGTCCCGGTGGCTCAATGGTTTCAAACAATTATCTAATGCGAAGAAAATTTTCTTTTCGACGAAGTCATCATCTAGGCTGTACATTCGTGTATTTATATCAAATGGATGGGAAAGTTCCAGAATAATATCCGGTCAAGGGTCAAATTAATAAAAATTAAAATTGGGAATTAGAATGCCATAATAAACAGGGGGATGGATAAAACAAACAAAGTAGCATTATAATAACTAAGAAGACTGACATTGTGCAATTAGGGGTTAGAAATGTAGAAATAACAAAATAGACAGGATGTTTGGATAAAAACTAATGTGATGAATAATTGTTTATGCAATCAGGGATTAAATATGTAGAAATAGTAAAATGACAAAATAAACACTAAGTTCGGGTATGAAAATATGGTAGTGTAAACAGGGATTAAGAAAAACTTGAAATAACATGAATAAACAGGAAGTTTAGATAAGAAAGGCGATGGGATGGTGATTACTAAAAATTACCTGTTTATGATGGCCATGGCAAGGACAGGGGTTGGACGTATTTCTTTTGTATACAAAGCGTGGGTTTGAGCTTTTGTATAGCTAGCGCCTCGGCTATGCCCAGATGTCTTGATTTTACTCCCTTTGATGGGTTTGATCGAATCTTGTAAATGATTTTGAAGGATTTTTCGAGTGGCGCTGAATGTCCTGAATTCACCAGATGTTCTGTCACCGAACTATTTACCCGTTTTCGTTCTCCTTTTACTAGCCAGGCTGGATAGTGTTCACGAGCGCGTTTTTCAAGTCGGCGCATGGTACGGCCAACGTACTCAGCTCCACAAGAGCAAGTAAACTGGTATATGCACGTTGAGGTGGCCCAATGCGACAGCTTGTCTTTCGCGTTCTGGCTGAACAGTTTCTTGCAGGAAAACGTCAGTCGTAGGCTAGCGGCGAAGTATGTTTTCCTCAGCGATTTTGAGAGGCGTCTGCGAAGGATTTCTGCTTCAATATCACCTTTGAATTCTAGATTAAGCAGAAGCATTTTCTTTGGGACGGATTGGACTTGTTCAGAAGTCTTCTTAGGTTTGAGATTCTTTTCTATGAACCTGGGCGGGAAACCGTTTTCCATCAGGGTTTTTCGAAGATTACGCAGTTCTTCTTCAACCACTTCCTCGCTGCATATCTTCCGAATCCTCGAGGAAAGAGCGTATATCAGGTTCCTCTTTCTGCTCAGGGGCACGAAGCTTTGAAAGTTGATGAATTGTCCATTCCATGTAGGCTTTTTGTATATGGACCTTTTCAGGGAGTTGTCGGCGTTTCTTGTCAGATGGACGTCGAGGAAGTGGAACATTCCGTCGGATTCAGTCTCAAGTGTGAAGTCGATGTTTGGGTGGGCATTATTGAAGATTTGAAGTAGGTTTTTTAAATCACAGTTCTCATCACAAATAATGAAAGTATCATCGATGTATCTCTTGTAGAGATGGAGGTCGTTGATAGTTGGTGATAAGGCGTTGTTCTCTAAGCTAGCCATAAAGCAGTCGGCTAGAAGGGGTCCTAAGGGAGAACCCATTGCTACTCCATCTACTTGCCTGTATATTTCTTTGTTGAAACTAAAGTATACGTTGAAGGTGCATCGAAGTAACAGTTCTTTCAGGTAATGAATTGGTATACCGACATTGATGTTATTGGATTCAATGTAGTCACAAAGGAAACATACGGTTTCTGTCAGTGGAACGTTGGTGAAGAAAGACACGACATCCATCCCACAATCCCACCGCCTTTCTTATCTAAAATTCCTGTTTATTCATGTTATTTCAAGTTTTTCTTAATCCCTGTTTACACTACCATATTTTCATACCCGAACTTCATGTTTATTTTGTCATTTTACTATTTCTACATATTTAATCCCTGATTGCATAAACAATTATTCATCACATTAGTTTTTATCCAAACATCCTGTCTATTTTGTTATTTCTACATTTCTAACCCCTAATTGCACAATGTCAGTCTTCTTAGTTATTATAATGCTACTTTGTTTGTTTTATCCATCCCCCTGTTTATTATGGCATTCTAATTCCCAATTTTATTTTTTATTAATTTGACCCTTGACCGGATGTTATTCTGGAACTTTCCCATCCATTTGATATAAATACACGAATGTACAGCCTAGATGATGACTTCGTCGAAAAGAAAATTTTCTTCGCTGCAACTGTCTTCTTATTCACTCCTATGACCCAATGTGTATATTCAGTAATTATCTAATGCTACTCACTTACAAACAACGCGGAAGAAGAGAAGAAAAAGGACTTATACAGACAACTACAAATAGTAAAAGGACAACATTCCAAATGGTGACATCAAAATCCTTTTGCGCGATATGAATGTCGAACTGGTAGCATATAATACAGGAAGAGAATTCATCATGGGTCGAGAGGCGAAATGAATGAGAACGGAGAATTATTCTCAGACGTCTGCTCTTCCAACGATTTGATAATCGGAGGGGGAGTGTACAAACAAACGGACAGACACAAAGCAACATGGATTTCGCCTGACGGACATACCAAAAACCAAATAGATTTCATATTAATCTCAATGAATTAGAGACGCAGACTGCTGGATACAAATTAGGGAAGGGTAGCAGATGTGGGCCTGCACCATCATCTAGTTCAAGGAACCTTCAAAATGAATCTGGAATCCATGAAAACAAATGATGACAGGCCACTGTAATTCAAGTTCAACATTCAGAAACTGGAGGACAAAACTATAATGGAAACCTTCACTACAGATCAGATCAGAGCAAAATCGGATACATTACGTTATATCACTGAGGAAACTTGTGTGGAAGAACATTGGAACTCTCTGAGTGTTATATTCAAAGAAACGTGTAAAACCTTTCTAGGAAGAAGGAAGAGACAAGACAAGGAATAGCTCTCAGTGGATACCTGAAAGCTAATCAAGGAGAGTAGGATTGTGAAGGAGAAGATGACTCAATACAAATATGGACAACAAAAGGAGAAGCTGAGTTCAATGTACGCTGCGCTGAATAAAGAGGTGGAGAAGAGTAATAGGAAAGACAAAAACAAATTCGACAATACACTAACAACTAAAGCAGAACAGGTCTCAGACGAAAGAGACATCAGGACACTATCAGATAACCAAGTCTCTATCCTCGAAGGGATCAGCCCAGATGATGAAAGCAATAAAAGATGCTCAAGAGAACCTGATCACCAAGGAGTAAAAACAAATAAAACAATGGGCTGATCACTTTAAAGGACTCGTGAATCGACCACCACTGGCAACTCGCCCAGAAATACCACTACCAACAACAGCACGCACAGAACTACGTGCCAGTGGACACCACTCCTCCAGCGAAAGAAGAAATCCTGAGTGCGATCAAGCTACTGAAGTTTAGTTGAGAAGGCAGCAGAGCCGGACAGAATTCCTCCCGATGCACTGAAAACGCCCCCAGAGATTACGGCAGATCTCACTCCATTACTGCAAAACGTTTGGAAAAAGTAAAGATGCCTATTGATTGGAAGAAAGGCTACTTCATCAAACTGCCAAAGAAGGGCATCTCAGGCCTCACTTTGGACCAGCTGGCGTAGAATAATGCTCTAGTCCATGCCAAGTAAAATACTAGTTTACATTATCCTAAAGAGAATAAAGGATGCACTGGATACATAACTCCGCCACCTACCGGAACAAGCTGGATTCAGGAATCACAAATCATGTGCTGATCAAATTGAAGCTCTACGTATCGTCATCACAGAAAAAAGCATGGAGTGGCAGTCAGACCTCTACCTCAACTTCATTGACTTCGAAAAGGCCTTGAACAGCGTTGATCGAGAAGTAATTTGGAAACTACTTTAACACTATCGCGTACCTCAAGTCTTTGTCAACTTCATTCAACAGCTGGCTGTATCACGACTTTAAAAAGCTATACCAAATCAACTGATGGATTTGTTCATCATTGTGCCATATGTTTGAAGCGTGCTAACATTAGAGAGGGTAAGCTGATAATTTTAATATTTCGTAGGAACCTTTTTCGCTAGGTCGCATCTATCCCTAACCCAGATTTTGTATATCTGCAACTACTGGGTGTTGAAACAGCCGGTGAGAGCAGCAGCTTCCGAGAATGAGAATAGTCTCGTCTCAACAGTTTAGTGGTACTAGCATTGCAGAGATATTGCTTCGTGTAAAATAGAGAAAATCACTTGTTTGCTGGGTGGATCCCGTTACGAGGACTCTTACGAATTCCACTGAAGGTTTTTGGGGCCGCTGAAAAACAGGATAAGGGCTATAAATGGATCTCAAAAGGATCTCATTTATAGGCATTCAGATGAATATAAGTACAGGATGTGGTGTGACTTCTCCATTGACAGTCACATGCTAAATTGGGAGATGTTTCTCTCACATGTTCGAGAAGTATACCCCTTGTAACCGTTTTATCCTTTTTTATGCTTTTTTCTATAAATATACGTTTCCATTCATCATATATGCCTATTTAATGTGATTGATCCGTTCAAGGTCGTTTGCTGATTGGTTGTTAGTGATGTCGAAAGTTTAACTTTGCCCTAAAATTTACTTCTTGTATTATTTTTGTAATTTTGTAGCATATTTGTACCACTGAATTTCGTAAGTAGGCAGGCATTATACTGTCGAAAAGTGACATGAAGGTGTGTGTGTGTGTGAATAACACAGCTATTCCACAAAGCGCTTTAATTTTTTCTTAATTAAACTGATTACCCATAAGTCATAGAAAAAACCAAATAGTCATATATTTTTATTTTTTGGGGGCAATTATTGTGTATTTTGCACTGATATTAATTAAAATCAGTCTAAACAAATTTTGTTATTACCACCGAGGGATGGAGGTAACTTTCCCAAAAGACAGTGAATCGTATCAGCGAAACGTGAAAAAACGTTATACCTGCGTATGTGCATATTTAAAAATACAAGATTAAAAAAAACAGGAGATGAAATGATTCTGTTTATCACGACAAAAAAGTGGATGGAATATCTAAACCATTTTTCCATCATTTATCTCTAAATATGATAGAGGAGATTTCTTGCTCAGGTGGATAAATTCTATGTGGTTGTGTTCTCTGAGCTAGCTGGATAGTTAATTTGCGAAGCTTTCATCACCCTACCTTCTAGGCATAAGTCTTCAGCGCATACTTCAATTCGAATTGAAGTGAGCTTTCTGATTTCTCCATGAGTTTATTAATCATGTCTCCTGGTTGGTGACCTGTGGTGTAATTGGTTGTTTTTATGTGTTTTCACACCTTCTAGGTTACTTGTATTGGTATTGATTGTTTGTTTCTTTGACTTGAACTTTGACCCATTGTGTGTGAAGTTTCTTTCTTATCGGTTGATTTCCTATAAACTCGAGTTTATAGAGGGCAAGGACTCATTGCAGCACTCCCGTCTTAAGGAAAATTGAAGAAAAATATCTCATGGACGTTTTCCGAAAGAATGGATATCCACGTAACTTCATCAAAAGACATATACCCCCAAGCCAACCTATCAAACCAAAAGCCCCAAAGGAAAGCACAAAGAAAATCGCCTTACCATATATATAAAGGATATCTCAGAAATCACTACAAGACTTTTCAGTCCTCTAGGAATTGGCGTCGTACACAAACCGACAAAATCACTTCATTCAGCTAGCTGTATGTCAACTAAAAGACTCAACATCAAAAGAAGTTAAAACCAACATCATCATCCACAAAATAAGTTTTAACAACTACGAAAAACACCACAATGACCAAACTGGACGTCCTCTTCGTCTTCGTATCCACGAACATAAGCTGGCCGTCAAAACACATTATATTCACTCCGTCATATCACTACATACAGACAATCACGGACATCAATTCGACTGGGACAACGTTCAAATATTAGACAGAGGAAACAAGAATAATGCTAGAGAATTTTTAGAAGCCCGTCTGGCATTCCAGTGAATCATCAATCAATAGACACATCAAGATAGACAAAATTTATCAACTGATAAGAAGTAAACCTCACACACAAAGGGTCAAAGTTCAAGTCAAAGAAACAAACAATCAATACCAATACAAGTAACCTAGAAGGTGTGAAAACACATAAAAACAACCAATTACACCACAGGTCACCAACCAGGAGACATGATTAATAAACTCATGGAGAAATCAGAAAGCTCACTTCAATTCGAATTGAAGTATGCGCTGAAGACTTATGCCTAGAAGGTAGGGTGATGAAAGCTTCGCAAATTAACTATCCAGCTAGCTCAGAGAACACAACCACATCAAAAAAATTTATCTCTAAGTTTGTCATTTTAATTCTTTGAAAAGAGGATAAAATCAAACATAATTCATCACAATCACAGTTCATTTTTTATCACTTTCATTCTCCGTTGGATTAATGTGACGTCGAATTTCTCACTTGGTAACTCGTTGTAAATTTATTTCATGTTTCACCACTGACTGACATCAGTAAGAGGCGCATTGAAAGCAAGCACTAGAGTAGTGGACGTCTGTTTCGTCAGCATAATTCCAGACTAAGCCATCCCATTTAGGTTTAAAACCAGGACCTTTAAGTTAAAAGTCATACCCGTGTACCATTCATTCAGCAACTGGAACCGATCACCTCACTAACTAGTCCATGAATTCTAACTTCTACCATTTAGGGTGATATTGGCGCGATTATCATCAGCCACTGTAACTGCTGGCGAAAATTTGACCTCATTCTCAACCGGATGAACTCCACCGGTCACGACTCCTCACTAGAACTGTAGGCAGGCAAATTCATCCTGTAACTAGTCAGTAGCTAGCATTAAATAAGCCTTTGAGGTATTCGATTTGTCACAGATTAGACCACTGATTTATATCAGTTAGACAACCACTGAAAACCAGAAAATACTAGTCAGCTGTTTCTTCAGACTACTTTGGAACTCATTGACAGTATGCACCCACTTTTGATAGTTGGAGGAACAATTTATTATATTCATGCAACTTCTTAGTCATAGTTTGTCCTGCATTTCATTACATCCAGAATCAGAGCTGCGCTTAATTATGTATTATACAGCCTCGATGTAGATTCTCTGAACGAAGAAGGTGAGAACAATGTCTCTACCAGCCTAACCATATTCTTGTTTCCGCAATTTGACCATATCTTATCCTACTGCGTACATATGGACACATAGCATGCCTTTTACCTTTTCAGTCTGATGTACACAGCTGAAGAGGATAAGGATAAAACGCGTTCATATCGAAGCCAGTTATTCATCTGGTGGGTGATTTTCACCTTTAAACGTCTACATCCACATACATTCTATCTATCACACCGCTGCAGACTGCAGTCTTGCAGACCGAAATATACAGAAATCGTTAGAAACTATTGTGTCTGTGTGTGTGTCTATAACTTGCTTACACCAAATAGAACAAAAAAAGGAGATGACAGTTTAAAAATGCAATTTCAGTCAAAAAGTAAATCTTACCAAACATTAACAAAGTATGTTCTGAAATTTGATTGAATTTTAGAAACAGTAAGAAAGAAGAATTTTAACACTATAACAATTTATTTTCAGATTGGATATGGCTGCATAATACATAGTTGAACTAGTAGAATGCTCGTCAATCATGTGACACTTTGTATGGGGTTCTATCCTTCACCGACACACTCCTCAAACTTACTTAGCCAGTAGTATGCCTTGTAAAGTGGAGAGACGGAGCGTGGAGCTAAGCGACCACACCTCATAAAAAAAGAATGACACTACTAGTGTGGTGAGAGCAGGCTGCTAGCCAGTTGGTAGACATTAATCTACGTCAAATTGGCCATACGCTGAGGAAACCATCAAGTGACATCACTAGACAAGCCCTCGAGTGGAACCCGAAAGGGAGGCGGCGAGTTGGTCGTCCAAGGGTGACTTGGAGGAGGTCATGTGAAGAGGAGATGAAAGCATGTGGGCAGACCTGGAGCAGGGTGAAAAAGTTGTCAGAAAACCGAAGTCAATGGAGGTGCGCAGCTGAAGCCCTATGTTCCTCTAGGAACTAAAGGATACAATAATAATAATATAATAATAATAATCTACGTCAATGTCTAGGTCACTAATATTGGCCGTGAGAAAATGTGGACAAGGCTGATTCAACAGCCAATCACAGCAGACTAAACGTGGGCAAATAAGATTTGAAGATAGATGGCTTAACTTTCCGAGAAACCAGAAACAACAAATCAGAAAACTGTGTTTGTCTGCTTGAATAAGCTATAATAATGTATATGAAATATATATAAATACGTGTTGATTTCCGTAATAAAGCGATCTGTTGTCGGCCCTTGTCTTCTGTTGTTACACTGGTACTACTAGTAATGAAATACTTGAAGCCCTATGTTCCACCTTTATTTAGCCATACTGGTACGTATTTCCCAGCACGAAAAATTAATTTTCTAGAACAACAGCTAATATAACTAGTTTCACAGTTGCAGTTGATAATGTCTGTCTGTCTGTTTTCGACATAGAACTTTGCACAAATGTGCGGAAGTTCAAGTCGCCACACTCCGTGTAGCACGCGAAGCAAGAGAAGAAAGTACAAGAAAAGCATAATAGAAACAGTGAGCAGAGGTGTGAGACAAAGGAGTAATAAAGAAAAACAAAACAGTTTCATTGGAGATCATAAGTCACAAGGAGTGGATGCATCTGCGCCACTGAGAACGATTTTGAGCCATGTCACCAATTGTTTCCAACCATAGATTTTTACCGTCCCGAGGACCCCAAACTGGAAGTCTACACCTTCCTACGTGGCTTAGACCAACTGTTGTGGATTTCATTGACTGCAGTTGATAATAATAATAATTCACTTATGATGGATATATAAGCGCAGAACCTGAAGGTAAAGTTATCGCAGTTATCCCTCGACTCTACGGTCTACCAAAGGTACACAAAGCAGGTCTACCACTTCGACCAATTTTAGACATGGAGGGATCACCGTACCATCAGATTGCCAAATGGTTGTTCGAGATGCTGAAGCCTGAGAAACGACAGCTCTGTAAGTACTTTCTACGCGATAATTTTGAATTTATTGAGTGCATAAAGGACTTGAATGTAAATGGCAAAAGAATGTTATCACTGGACGTGGAATCTCTATTTACGAATAATGTGCCGCTCACAGACACAATTTGTTTCCTTTGCAGGTATATGGATGACAAAAATCTGAGTATCGGAATACTGACCTCATACTTGAAAGAGTTGTTATTAAGATACACACTCAACGTACAATTTACGTTCAACGGCGTCATCTATGGACAGAAAAACGGGATTGCTATGAGCTCTTCCCTTGGCCTACTTTTGGCAGACTGCCTCATGGCCAGCCTGGAAAACGGCATCTTAAAATCAACAATGGACAAATTGCCGCTGTACAAAAGATACGTCGATGATACTTTTATACTTTGTCAAGATGACTCCGATTTAAACGGTATCTTACGGGAGTTTAATATCTGCCATCCTTCAATTATATTCACAACAGAAGTCGAAAATGAATCAAAGATTACACTCCTGGACGTCGAATTGACAAGGAGAGATGACGGAACTCTCAAAAGATCTATCCATAGACAAACCAACATGCAATGACCAACTGACAAACTTCTACAGTCGGATACCTACCAGCCGTAAAAGAGCTCTCATCATCTCGCTAGCCCACCGTACCAGAAGAATTTGTAGCTATGCTGCTTAGAAGAAGAGCTCCTATTTCTCAAAAGCACCCTGCTTCAAAATGGATACCCACTGCGATTTGTGGAGAAGAACATGAAACCAATGTCAAAAAGAGAAGAATACGCTTCAGTGCAAAAGAAGAAACTCTATTTGAATCTGGAATTCAGGGGAGACCTAGCAACAGATATCCTTAAAAAGAGAATCTCCAATTCCCTGTAGAAGACTTTTCCGGCAGCAACTCTAGGAGTGATATTCTATAGTCGCCCACTACTTCAGAGCGACGGGAAGGACAGACTTCCGCATATGACCACTTCAATGTGCATTTATCAGTTCACCTGATCTTGTGGAGCTAGGCACATAGGTCGTTCTATGCAGGTCTTATCAAAACGTTTTAGAGAACATCATCCAGCATGATTGCAAAGAGGAGGCACTGGTTCAATCAGAAGCGCAATAGCTGAACATCTCGTCAATACCTGTCATAGCGTCTCAACCGACTCATCATTTAGAGTCATTTACAAAGTAAACAAAAATCTACCAAAGGTAGTGTCTTTCCGACTTCTTTGTACTGCGGAAGCTCTCGCCATATGCATCGAAAAGCTATGTGTTCAAAAGAAATTAGTCCAGCCTTTACAACTACCATGGACCTAGTTCGGTATGTCCCCTTCAGTTTTTTGTTTTGTTCTTTGTGTGCGTAATTTTCTCTCTTTGCCTTCATTCAATTCATCCTATTTTTCAGTTATAAAATCAGTTATTTTAAGTTTTTTTCTATGCTCCTCCTGACTACACTTGTAATCCGTTTAGAATAACCATTTTACAATTGTATTCTAATCCTGTGTAAATTTTTTGTTTCTATGCCTCTTGTAATCTATATTCACACACACACACACACCTCTTAACTTAAATTTCAAGTTGAAAATTTTGATTTCAGTTTGTTTCCATGCTCATTTTGTTCACACCTGTAATTCTTTCTATCCTTGCGTCTCTAAGTCTCTTGCAATTCATGTCAAGTTGAAAATAATTATCACCTTTTATTCGCCTTTAAAATTATTTCTCCAATCATCAAATATTAATTTCGCATACGTTGTAAGTGTTTTCTAATCCTATGCGATCTTGTCTCTAAGCCCATTGTAATCTATATTCGTGCCTTCAAACTTTCTTATCAAGTTGAAAATTATTGTCACCTTCGTTACTACGTGGAATTAGACAAATAAGAATTGTATCTATGTAAACTAACCTATGTGTGCGTCGGTGGAATAGCGGTTAGGACACTCGCCGAACATGCACATGGTCCGGGGTTCGATCCCCGGCCACAGACGCACTTCTTTACCTCGCTAAGCCAGAAAAAAGGCTGGTAAAGAGGAAAGGTTAGGCATGAGGCTAGCAACCCCATCCTGTAAAATAAACACTGCTACAGAAACTTCAAGCCACTAGCTTGAAGCTCTATGTTCCACTGGGGAGCGTGAAGGAAAATATTTTTTTAAAATAATCTATATAAATGCGATTGTACAGCTGCTCTTGAGAATGAAATCGCCGAAAAGATCACCATCTTTGCTGAACTTCTTGTTCTTTCATCAGAAAGAACCTTCTTTCCCCACTAATCAGTCTCATAAAATCTTCATTGTTTGAAAATCCTTTGAATGGAATATACGTAATACCAGGAACAGATTATGACTCTTTACCATTTAAAAGAAAATACTTTTCGTCGTTTCCACTACTTATATAATGAAGATGGGTTTCATACAGCATAGATGCCTGTGTCAAAGGTGGCACTGAAGTTGAAATACCTTGGAATACTTCTATCTTCTAACCTTTCTTGGTCGGTCATCCCATATTTTGTCGATTTGTGAGAAAATGTTCCGTCTAACTTACCATATTAAGAAGTTAAGACAATCATGAATCACTCACCCTCTATCTACGCTTACGATTCTTTAATTCCTACATGTTACCTATTCAGCCTTATGGCTCTGCCATACTGGGCTACTCAAAAAGGAATATGTCATATGGAGATGAGAGGGATAGTAAAGGTTGTCAGTAAGACAGACGAGTAGTATGCCATTAAGTCAGCCAGCTCGCTGTTATTTTAGTCGATAGACATCTGAACAACTCATGTAATAAATGGTCTAAATTAATACTATCTGACTTTCAACAGCTCACCCTCTCTATTCACATCTCTTCCCCCACTCTTGTGACCTCATCAGGTAGGAGGACTAGAAGTCATCGTACAAGATTACATGCCCGCATAACCAAGTACAAAATCTACAGGATACCCACTCTATTTGGTCCACTCGCTTTCTATGTGACAGAGAGAGAGAGTGTGTTAAGCCTGGAACTTACAACTTGCCCTCTTATCTCCCTCTATTTGTAATTTATGATGAAACTACTTCATTTATCATTTTATAGTTTTAGCTATTAACATTATTATGACCAACATTTTACCCTTTTTGCTCAATTTTTTTGACCTCATTATCACCAAAGATACCAAGAAAGTTGCCATTATTAATCACTGTGACATATTTCCTGTAATATTAATTCATGATTTTGTTTTTGCTGTTGTCGAGTAAATTATATAGAATATTGTACAAAGGAAACAAATTTAGAATTTCTAAAAATTCATATTTTTGTATAGTTACACTGCGATAGTTGGTTTCACACATCAGAATGCTCTGATTGCAATCGCATGTAGACACAAAACATTTCTCAGAGTAAGATTATAAGTATCTAAACCTTAGACTTACGAATTTCTTGGGGTAATTTGAGAATGGAGTTAGACTGAACCATCATAAATTACTTCATTTAATTCCAGAGTGTTTAAAAAAAGTCAAAACAAGGTCGCCTCTGAAAGTTTCTCTGTGTAAGCCAAAGTCTCGTCTTCTTCAACAGAATTACTCAGATTTTATTAGCCATCCACATATATATATAGTCAAACAATTACATAAATTGAAGTGAACTCCTTTGAAGACCACTTGTTGGTAGACATTTGTACCAATATAAAAATGTAAATAATCTAATTGAATTTTAGATTATCTCGTCGATCGATTGGATGAAAGTGCTCGGTCTCCGGTTGACATGTCGGCTTCTTGTGCAGATGTTTCGACGATGTCTGGACAATTAATTAGAATTTAACTGGTGGATGGTGACTAGCGGTGGAATCCAGGATCCGCATTTCGTCCTATTTGGGACATTGTCACCTGGATGCACCTACATTTCATGTCAACCTGAGACCGAGCACTTCTGTCCAATCAATCGATAGGAAAATAAAAAATTCAATTTAATTAACATGACCTGTCGCACAAGAGATGGCTCTCTTGGCCCAAGTGGTCTGGTGGATAACGCTTTGGCGTTTGAAACTATTGGCGCTTGGTTCGAGCCTCGGTGGAAACATCATGGCTCACTGAGAAATGCTGACGAGTCCCAAATATGACGAAATGCGTATCCCGGATCCCACTGCTAATCACCATTCACCCAATAAATGTAAATAGCCATCACATATTTGTAATGCCTGATATCAAATTGTCGTATGTGCATAATTGTCTGTATGAGCGTGTGTGTGTGTGTGTGTGTGTGTGTGAGTGAATGTGTTTGTTATATGGAAGCACTTGAAAACATGATAACATTTTAACAGCAGTCGCAAAATAGGAATGAATATTTTTGCATTTTTTCTCATCTGTTTTGCTTCATTATAGTCCGCCATATAATAGGTGATAAGTCTATCCCTTCTCTCGTATTTATTGCATTAGATGTGGTTATAAAATGCCGGGCTGGCTTCAGAGGTCTTCAGGCCTTTCTTCCTGTGTTGAATGAAAGCCTCTTCCTAGAATTTCGACCTTATGTCCGCTTCACTTCAATTTATGTAACTGTTTGACTATATATTTAGATGGTTAATACGGTACGAGTGATTCTAGTGATAAAGAAACTGTGGCTTACATGGCGAAACGTTCAGAAGCAACCTTGTATTGATTTTTTTCTTAAACATCCAGGGATTATATTAAGTCATCTTGATAAGTATTTTACCGCTATCTCACTAATTTGAAGCTTTGACAGGGAGCAGTAGTGTCCGACGGTTCTAATTCAACGTTAGACTAAAATAAACTAGATATGTCATTTTACACCACCGAACCTAACACAATATTCATGTAAAATCTGATCCCTTCGAAGCATTATTACCAACAGTAAGGTAAACACTACATAAGAGTATTTAAATGGAAACCACTTGGGCTATCGTGGCCCGATTGGTCTATTGGATAAGGCTTTGGAGTTTGCAACCATGGGCACTGGGTTCGAGCTTCAGTGGGAACACCACCACTCACTTGGGGATGCAGGTGCACCCATATGACATGCCAACTGAGGCCGAGCACTTCGGTTTAATCAATGAAAGGGAAAGTCCAGAATGAATTCAATGCGGATAGTATATTTTAAATAATTATTCAACAGTATGAATTATAGACATTTGTAAACTCTCAGTGAAATTCATGAGTAGTTCCAACGTTCCCTGCATTCGGAAAATGGGCCCAACTTCTTCAGGGGAATTAATCGAAATTAACATAAAAGAGATTTATATATTTAAAAAGGGGTATATCTCTTGTTTTTAGAAACTTTGTCCAATCATATGAGTCATGAAACAGTTATCAACATGTATAATAAACAAAAGTGTAAAAGTTGTGCTCAAACACTCTGTTTAAAGTACTTAACAAAAGTAGACTAATATTTTTAAGTCTGTGGTAAAATTTTGATTACAACTTATACAGTTTTGTTAATTATATTTTGATGACTGTTTCATGACTCATATCATTAGAGAAAGTTGGTCAAAAGAAGATATGTCCTTTTGATAAACAGACCTCTCTTAGTAATCAAGATCACTATGTCAAAACAAAGTTTACCAAGGAAGGTGGTTTAGTGTGATAACAAATTGTTGCTTTGAAAGCATAAACGTGGTTCAAACTTTCTAACTGCCAGCCAGTGCTTCCACACAATTTATGATACGCCCTCCCCAAAACACGTTTTAGAGATAGCTTTAAAAGATGTATTAACGTCAATTTTATTTCCTGTCTCTATGATATGTTTCGCAATAGAAGAGCTGGGTCTCATGTTCTCACCATTAATGGGTTCTGAAGATTCTGTTTGTTTCTGGGGCCATTTAGGAATATGCTTTGATGTAAGACCGTACTTGCAGAGATCGATGGGTCCACCCTATGTATGTGTGTTCACACGTACATTCAAATAGGTAAATATAATGAGAGGTGACATCACTTTTCGCATGTTCAAAGTAAGATGCCTCTTCAGTAGAATCCAACCAATATGCACTGAAGACAGACACACTTGATGACGAAGAAAGAAAGTTGACACAAACTCTGGTTGGTAAAAATAATCCAGACAAGTTCATCAGGAGATATAATTTAGTCAGTGGAACACCAAGACCCACTCTACGACTCGTCCTTAAGAAAAGCGTGTACATCAATCTACCCTATATGGGGCATCATAGCAGCTTGATGACTAGACAAAGATTGAACGCAGTTGTTAAAAAACTTTTTATGCAGCTAATATCACAATAATTGAGAATGTGAAACTGAAATATCCATCCATCCAAACCCTTTGGACATGCGGAAAATGAAGTCACATCCCACTACATTTACGAATTTGAATGTACTTGTGGACACACATATATAGGGAGGACTCATCGATGATGTCTGCAAGTACGGTCTTACATCAAAGCATATTCCTAAATGGCTCCAGAAACAAACAGAATCTTCAGAACCCATTAATGGTGAGAACATGAGACCCAGCTCTTCTATTGCGAAACAAATCATAGAGACAGGAAATAAAATTGACGTTAATACATCTTTTAAAGCTATCTCTAAAACGTGTTTTGGGGAGGGTGTATCCTAAATTATGTGGAAGCCCTAGCTGGCAGTTAGAAAGTTTGAACCACGTTTATGCGATCAAAGCAACAATTCGTCATCACACTAAACCACCCTCCTTGGTAAACCTTGTTTTGATACCAAACAGGGTAGATGTACTATTATCTCTGTTATTCGGTTTAGTGGTCTTCATTATTATTTCGACCTTCAATATGTCCTTTTAACTTGACCTAAGTTTATTTTCAAAAATCTCTTAAGTTAATTTCGATTAATTTCCCTGAAGCAGTTAGGACCAGTTTGCCGAATACAGGAAACGTTGGAATTATTCATTTGAATTTCGTTGAGATTTTACAAATATAAGTTGTTTTACATATGTCTACTTCATACTTGGCGCCCAATTATTTTGTAACTCTATTCAGTCAAATCTTGATCACAGTTCATATGAAGTATGAACTCATATTCTCACCAATGTTTACACATCCCGATACAATCATGACAGCTAGAATACTGACTCATGAAAATCTTGTTTTGATTTTTTTTCTTAAACACGTTGGAATTATTTGAAATAATTTATAATTCCACAAAGTATGCTTCAGTCCAAAAAGGCCAACATGACACTCTTCAATAAAATAATTTTACTGTTAATTTAATTTAACTTCAGAATTTCCCGTCGATTGATTGGACCGAAGTGCTCGATCTCAGGTAGACATGTCGGCTTTTTGTGCTGGTGCTTCGACGATGTTTCGGCACTTAATTAGAATTTAATTTGTGGATGGTGACTATCAGTAGAATTCAGCATGCGGATTTCATCCTATTTGAGACTCGTCAGCCGGGTGTACCTGCATTTCCCAGTGAGAGATGATGTTTCCAGTGAGGCTTGAACCCATTGCTTATAGTTTCGAAGGGAAAAGCGTTATCCACTTGACCACTTGGACCACGAGAGCCACTGCCTCTTGCGCAACAGGTCATACTAACTATTTAATTGAATTTTAGGTTTTCCCGTCGGTTGATTGGACCCAAATAGGACGAAATACGCATCCTGTATTCCACTGCTAGTTTCTATCCACCAATTAAATATCTATATATGTCTACTTCTCACGCGGCACCCAATCATTTTGGAACTCTATTCAGCCAAATCTCGAACACAGTTCATATGAAGTATTCTCATCAATGATTACACATTCATGCGTTAGTCTAAAAAGGCCAGCCTGACACTCTTCAATAAAATAATTTTACCGTTAATTTCCCCATTTTTGCACACTGACTGTTTCATAGAATGATACTGGAGTGAAGTTGTTCTGTTGAGAGATTTTGTGGTATAAAATCATTCAAAGTCACAAAAGTACAAAAAGGTGTTTTGTTCAACACTAATGAAATACATGGGACTCACCTTAAATCAAAGATTACTAAGTGAATATGATTGTAAATTTAAGTGAAATCGATCAATTTATTTATAAGGATAGTTGAACAAATGGTTAATTATTCTGATGACTATTTTATCGAAACTTCTCTTTTTAGCAAGCAAAAACATACAACAGCAGTTAAGTGATTAGATCATTCATTCTGTCCCAAGAAATAATTCAACATGTGTGCATATACTGTTGACGTGATTGCTCCATTTCTCACTGTGTTCCTTTAAACCAAAAATTAGGGTGATTTCTGAAATGCTGGAAGTTGCTTTCAGTTACACTGACAGTTTCTATAGAATTTCTAATACATGTAGGACATAAAAATGACAGTTCATGTCCTTTCAGTGACTTTCCAACGAGCTGTCAATAGACAGAAGGCTAGTTTCAAGGAAACAAGCACTTTTTATTAGTGCTACTACCAATCACCTCATCAACACAAGTCATCTGGTGGTCATCGCAAAATCCTTCAAAACTATCAGTAGACAAAATCGCTCAATTATCTTCTAGTTCGCTGAAGTAATCTCTATCAACTGCCTGAAATTCGATTTATATGTTCAGAACGAAGCAGTTATCAGTATTTTCTTGCCCTATTAACTAGATATATTTTCTCTATACTGAGTTCAACTCAGTATATTCTCACTGAGTCTGTTAGTTAGCCATCATATTACTCACCTCTCGTCTTTATTACGTGTATCCTTTACCGCTGTATGTATACATTGATTTTTGTTTAAAATTGAATCACCTGTGTGAAAATTATATAGGTGTACTTTTCGGAGCCCTGTTCATGATTTAGTTTAGAGCCTCATGTCAACTGACATCATGTAAAATTTGCAAGTATGTTAAAAAATGTTCTGTACATAAACTCAATAATGTGAAATATATGATGATACCATTTAATTCTGTACAAAGGGTTGTTCTTGTTTTATCCAATTCCATGGTAGGTGGACGGGGAATACATGTATGAGACTAGATTCTGCTGAGAAGAGGACGCTTAGAAAAGTAACCAACTACTTTTCTCATCAGAATACTAAAGTACCAATTAGTAGGTTTTGATTAAACGTGAAAGTAACCAAAAATTGTTTGAAGCGGACTCATTCACGCTCTAATCACTAATCTATGCTTAGGAACAAAATACATTCAAGCATTAACTTTTGACGATTACATTTATTTTAAAGCGCATTTTATCATGAATTGTGATGATGTTATATACTTTAATTAACAACAATCAATTCCACATTAGTTTGTTTATTAAATGGATATATCACACAGTGAAACAGTATAATTTACTGGATGACACAGTTTCGAACAAAATTTATTGTTCATAATCATATCACTTCTAATCACACGACTTCGAAACTTGAGTTTTGTAGTTTTCTTTGTCCTCTCCTATTTGTCGTAGGGTGGTAGAATTTTCCAGATATCCAGGTAGACAGGTGTTGAATCACTCCTATTACACGTACTCTCTACAGTTGATTCGATAAACAAAGCTTCTGTTATCAGTCTCTCCCTCCACCCTGTTACATTAAATTTCAAAACTGTCATTTTAACCCCATCAGATCCTATTGTATGGTTGTGTGTGACTGCATGTAGCACTTTGGCTGAACCATTCTCTAGATTTCTTATCTTATTCGGGTCAACTAATCTAGATTTCTCCGCTAGGTTTTTATGTTCGGTTAGTCTGACTGACTGTACCTGTTCTACTAGTTTGACCGATGTATTTGACTTGACAAACATTCAAGCAGGGTATTAGATAAACTAAACTGTTTTGTTTTAAAGGCTGCACAGGATTGATTCTTTAGCCGACAAAGCTTGTTTCTAATTAAGTTTGTGGGTGACTGAATGCCAGCCACTTTGATTCGTGCCTTGTTAAGAATTCTGCGTAAGGTGGTTTCCGAGGTTCCCTCCTTGTATAGAATTACTACAGATGATTTAAATTCCTTATTGTTGGTGTTGTCATTATTATTATTATTATCACTATTATTATTATCATTATTATTGCTATCATTATTACTATCAAGTTTCAAAGTTGTGTGCTTAAAATTAATATGATTATGAACAATAAATTGTGTTCGAAACTGTGTCATCCAGTAAATAATACTGTTTCACTCATTGTGTGATACATCTAATAAACAAACTAATATGGAATTACCACAGTGCTCAAGTTTTACATATATATTAACAACAAACAAATTGCATGGACCAATACATGTCCAACTTATTCCCACCTTGTAGCTTAAGAGTCATAGATTTGCCTCTTATTTGTTCATGGGTTTGAACTGCTTCAAGGCTGTCGGACTAGAAAAAAAAGACACCTGTACTCCAGTGCTTCACAATTTTCAGTAATACTCTCAATAATACCGGTATCTAAGGCAATTTCAACTAATTAACAGGTAGTAATGTGACTATAAGTGTATGTTATAGCCCAGTAATCAATAGACTGTGGGTGGGTTCGAGTACTACCATCCGTCAAGTTGTCATTCAATCGTCTAATCAACCATCATTGAATTATTGTTATTCTAAGGATCAAAAATTACTTTATGCGTCGGTGGCACAGTGGTTAGGACTCTCACCGACCATGTACATGCTCTGGGGTTCGAGCCCTTGCCGACACGCACTTGGTATCAATGGTCGGCCTGCAAAATTCGGACTACCGATATCACATTCTGAAAATTCCATACTTGTACCGAAAATACGGCGTGGAATCAAGCTATAATCAAAAAATATAAAAATATAATAAACAACTCACTATTAAGCATATCGTTACCTAAAATTACAGAAAACTAGAGAGTGAAATTATAATAATAATATATATTACTACAGATGATTGTTATAGTATCGTTTATGTTTCTTGAATTAATATTTTCCCCTTAGATTCCTAGTGGAATATATAGTTACAACAGCGTATTTCTACTTTGGCCTATTTTCTGTTATCCCCTTCACATGGCCTCACTATTCCCCATAGTCTCTCATCGCCTCCTCTACAAACGATCGCCTATATGTCACAGAGTCTCAGATATACACCCAGCTCATCGTACCCCATCCGGATTCCATTCGAGTGAAAGTCTGGTATGCAATGTGATTCAACAGTCTCCTCAGTGGCGTGTGTCCGATCCATCTTTATATCCTTGAGCATATTTGCTGATTAATAAATTCTTGTCTGGGTCATTACCCGCTAGACTTTCTTGCTGCTAATTCTTTCTCTCCAGCCGTTTAGTCTTCAGTATGGAGACAAAGAACCTTCTCATGTTACCTCCAACTGTACATACAAATATACATGTATCTGCGAGAACAGTTATATTGGAAAAACAGAAAGAAGGGCATATCTACGATTTTCTGAATATGTACCAAAAAGCTAACGTCTAAGGGGAACAAATGCTTTAAACATTGCCATCGCCAGACATCTCCTTGACACGGGTCATGAGGTGGACGTCAAAACGTCGTTCAAAATTATCAATAGGAAAAAAAGAGCTCAATTCTCCTTAAGTTAGTTTGCTGAAACCATTTCCATCAACTGCCTGAAACCTGATTTATGCGTCCAGAAAGAAGCCCTTATCAGTCTTTCTTTACCCTGTCTAGTAACTGGATATTTTTCATCTCTCCTTCATCTGAATGCGTAATACTCAAAAGTTTCCATTGTGTATGATTATTATTCTTCAGAATAATGTTTAATATTACATATATGTCATTACTGTATGCATATACTGATCAATTAATATATATAATAATGTCTTTGGTCTGTAAGCAGCTGACGAGAAGGCAACGAAATAAACAATGATGCTACCACTTTCTTCTGCAAAAAACCATAGTTCTTGCTCTGTTCAAATTCATTAAGGGAAATAAATGTATGAAACTTAGCTGCTGATAAAGTTTTGAACTGGTCAATGGAAAATGCTTTCGGTTACACACCGGCCAAGTTTCTCACCCATATATAGAAGAAATGACTAAGGCGGGGTTGAGAAGATTTCAAAACACTGGTTTCAGAGTGATGAAGATCTCGTCTTACATCCCCGCTTCTGATTTTGACATTATCATGCGTGCTGTCTGTCTATAGTCAAAACGATGCTGTTGAGACAAGTGAACGAAGTGAGGACTTTCAAATTTCTCCAGCTGATTGTGATTATTCCCGTTGATTGGTTATCTTCACCACCTCCGTCTTCTTTATGTTCATCACTTAAAGTCCTGTCTCCGCCGCTTTTTGCTGCCAATGTTCACCTATTTTAATAGAGCCCAATTTGATGTATATTTTCATTCGAAGACTGTTCCACATAGCTTAAGCTTAGTTTGATCTATCTATAATCCCCAGATCACAAGAGGAAAACATATCTCTATATTTTATCTGGTCTAAGTCGAGGACATCAAAGCCAGAATCGGAAAAGCAAGACAAGCTTTCATTACTCTCAAATCTGTGTGGAGGTCAACAGCACTCAGCATCAAAAATAAGATCCGGATTTTCAACTCCAATGTGAAGTCAGTGCTACTATACGGATCAGAGACTTGGCGAGTCATAAAGAGCACCTCAAACAAACTTCAAACCTTCATTAACAGCTGTCTCCGCTCAATACTCAAGATCAGATGGCCAGAAAAGATCAGCAACAGGGATCTCTGGGAGTGAACCAATCAGGAACCGATTGTGAAACAAATAGGCAGAAAGAAATGGAGATGGATTGGCCATACGCTGAGGGAACCATCAAGTGACATCACTAGACAAGCCATTGCTCGAGTGGAACCCGAAAGGGAGGCGGCGAGTTGGTCGTCCAAGGGTGACTTGGAGGAGGTCATGCGAGGAGGAGATGAAAGCATGTGGACAGACCTGGAGCAGGGTGAAAAAGTTGTCAGAAAACCGAAGGCAATGGAGGTGCGCAGCTGAAGCCCTATGTTCCTCTAGGAACTAAAGGATACAATAATAATAATAAGTCGAAATGCAAGTAGCCTTCGACATTCAGAGATTCAGACATTCAAAGCATGCTTGCATAACAGTATCGATAATTCATGAAAGAATATATATATATATAAGAAGAAGACTCACAGTTTACAACAGGTAATAAAGTGACTGAGAATACAATGAGAAATCCAAATACCACCGTATCGAATCCCATGAGTATAGCACTCCTAATTACCTTTGACAAAGCTAAAGTGCTTTTATTCAATCATTACTGCATGACTTAAACAATCATATGCGCTGTGTATACTACTAACCAATCATAGGCGCTTTGTGTTTGTCTCTCACTCAGTCACTATATTCTCACTGAACAGTTGTAAAGTTATGAGAAGGATTTAGTGATTAGCACACCGTAAGAGTATGGCAACTTTTCTCAAAGAAGAAAGCCACCATATAGCCTTGAGTAGTTTGTATTCTGGAATACGTAAACACCCTACTACAGCGCGGATGTGGGTTTCCTTTAGGAAATCCAGAAAGGAGATGTTTTACACTGACTTTCTAATCATGTATACCAAACGTTTGAATCCCCTGAAAACTCCAAGAGAAAATGAAGTGTCTAAGACAGAATTCGAAGACGACGGTGAGAATTATGCAAAGAGTTATGTCTTCTTCGTTAGATGTGCGCCCACTTCATGCCATTGGATTGTCCAGAGATAGGGAAATGCCACCCTGAAGTACACCCTTCCTGAGGTGTCCGGAGCGCTCTTGTCAGCCCCTGAAAATCGGAGCCAGGCAGTGTAGTTTTTGTGGCATACCATACCTATATCCTCAGTCGGTCTCTAAAGTGAACAGCCTGTGGTAATTGAACAATGCAGGTAATGAACAATACTGGTAAGTTTGATCCGTAACTTCGGGAGAAAGGTTAGCTCTGGTGACCAAGTCAGACAGACCAAGATCAGACACGTGTCAGTTCAGTTGGAGGCTGGTTTCTTTGCTTCTTTGTGTGCTCTGGTGTGCATTGTTGTTAAGTCACTGCACTCTGACCGTTACCGATCATAGGCGGCTTCATCTCTCAGTGTCCTATGGCTGGCAAAGCTCATGGATTTGCTCTGCATTGCTTCAAGCGGCTGTACTTTTATTATCAGACTCGCTACGGCTAACTCAGAACCAGCATGGACTAGGGGAATCCGACTGTCTAATTAAAACAAAGCTTTGCGATTTCCACTGATCAATTTTGACGCAATACGATTTCTGCCCAGTGTTCTAAATGTCAAACTGAATAAATCCAAGCAAGCGTGGGTAAACGGAGGGAGTAATTATGTCAGTGGGAGAGACGTTTCAAGTTGAACCACCATCACAAGAAAGAAGCCTCGAGGATACATTGCAAACCAAAGATACTTAGAATAAATAAAGCTCAAAGGGAAGTGAAGCATGAAGGAGAATATGCAAGAGGTACAATAGACTGCTATGAATGCGAAAGATTATCGACGAGGGATAATGACATTGTCAACAACTTATAACTTGTACTGTTCACAATCAGTAAGTACTGCAAAAATGAACACAAATATATAAAAGTTTAGTAAAGGCCAGTTAGAAAATGACTGATGAATATTGTTGTATACAATGAAGCTGGCTCAGTAAATACAGCAAATAATACGCTTTATCAGATAATGACATCACTATCTAGTAAGAGATCAACACAGATGAAACCGATGAAAGATAACAAAGGAAACCTAATTACCAAAGAGGAGTTGCAGACGAAACTACTGGCCTGTCATTCGAAAAATCTTATGAACCAACCACCGCCTGCAAATAACTCGTCTAGAGATACAATGAAGAGCCACACAACTGCCAAAGTCTTCATCGACAAAAAGCTACTGGAAGCCAGCTGGTAAGGCGGCTGGACCATTCTGAGCTCCCTTGGAACCAATGACGACAGATTTAGAAACCTCAGTGGATATACTCACGTCACTATTGTAGAAAGTGTGGATGGAAGAAAAAGTACATACTGACTGGAATTGGGAAAACCTTGTCAAACTATCCGAGTCTTTGCAGGAACCGGCATGGAATCATGCTCCTGCAGATGCCAAGCAGAATATTTAGTCGCATCATCTGGAAGAGATCAAAAGATGCTTCGGATACAAAACTCCGCATAGAACGCACTGGATTCAGAGAAAGAAAATTACATGTGGATCAAATTATGAAACTACGCACCATCATTTGACGCAGTCTAGAATGTCAGTCAACTCAATCTCTACCTCAACTTCACTGACTATGAAAAGGCCTTCAATAGCTTCATTGAAAACTGGTTAAACATTACGGGTTGCTAACTGCATTCATAAGCACCATTCAACATTAGGCCGGCGATACCAGATGACGGCACCATTCATTATGTGGTTAACCCACAACAGGAAGTCTAATGAAGCCTTTTATGTGGAGAAGGAAGCAATACAAGACTGCCAACTGTCACTGACGATAATATTCCTGATGTTGGTGAACTGGATAATGTGGAAGACCATGGGGAATGAGGTGATAGGTATACCTTCAACTGATAAGAAGAATGTAGGTGATTTGAAGTTTGCGGATTATTTATGTCTTATGTCACGGGCAAAGACCGATTAGCTGCCAGAAGAAGCAGGCAACGTACACAGGACTTGAAGTGATGAACATAGAGAAGATGGAGGTGATGAAAATATTCGACAAATAACAAAAAACATCAGTCACCATCGATGACAGACACCTGAAGGAGATCACCTAGGCAGCACTATTTCAACTCCGGGCGTCACATTTGAGGATGGCAAAGGCAGGATAGGGCTAGCAAGACAGACATTCATCACTTTGAAACCAATGTAAAGACTACTATACTAAGCGTAAAGGAAAAAATCCAGATTCACTACACTAATGTTATACCAGTCAGTTATTTCAGGTAGTTCAGAGACTTGGTGTGACAAGAAAAGCAGACTTCAGACTTCTACTGACATCTGCCATAGCTCCATAATGAAGATCAAATGACCGGCCAGAATGCATAAACGATATGGAACTCTGAGATCGGACTAACCAGGGAGTAGTCGCACATCAAATATGAAGGGGGAAACGGAGTTTGTTTTATGGCGTGAACTGCACCTACAGCAATATAAATTCCCCACAATGCTGAGTCGCCTTATTGTCATGATTTACCCCTACCCGATCCCTCAAAACACACAAGTATTTATGACTCCTACTGATCCATTGTTGACACAATAGTCGAATACTCAATTTTCACAGAACTCACTCACCAAATCCATGATTCGGTGATTGATTTGGAATAACTTTTCATAGCACTCCTCAAATCTGATTGATTCTGCATAGTCAAGTACTGAAAGGCCTTGATTTTATCTATGATACAGTTGGTCAAAAAGTGTCAAAATATAATGATGTCGTCTTTTACTGATGATTTTTCCTGTTGCCCACTGCAAAAAATAATCAGTATTCAGTGAATGGATGTGTGAGTGTGATATGTGTCCACATGATGTGTGTGTGTTTTGGTTTTGACAGTCTATTATCCTTTTTGCTATGTGTATATGGATCGATATTCCATTATAACTGACATTATGCTTTTGTCTGTCCACTAACTAAATAAACAATGTATGACCTTATTATCACATGACATTACAACCAATCATGGTAAGACGTTATCTAATTGGTTCATGTGTATTAGCCATTTTCATATATACTCTTGCTTTATTATTCTTATTCATTTTCTTGTTCCCACATGTCGTACATCTAAGTACCCTCTCACTCACACTCTCGTGTGACATTTATTTTCTTTGTCTGGGAAATACAAGTATCATCGTAAACCTGGTGGTCTTCTGATTTCCCTCTTTCCGTGTCAGGACTATTGACTACTCGACGAGTACATAACAGAGTGATATACTGGCTAGAGGGTTTTTGTCTGCTAAGAAATCAAATCATATTTTATAAGTCCATTCGTCTAGAGCTGACTGATTATTCCACATTTCCCAAATTGCATCAAATGGAACAATCCACTACATATTGCATATAAATCGAGGGAGAGGGCTCTCCAGTGGTTGCGCCACAGGATAATACTGCATGCCAGTCTCGTCTCACAAGAGGCAGGGATGGGTGTGTTCGGTTCCCCTGAAAACCAATACCCAGTCAAGGGATGTATCATTATGTGAATGTGCGTCGGTGGCACAGCGGTTAGGACGCTCGCCGACCATGCACATGGTCTGGAGTTCGATCCCCGGCCGACGCACATCTTATATCAATCAATGGTCGACCTACTAAATTTGGGCTACGTACTGGAGTCTCTTACTGAGTAACAGGGGTGCACGACAATCAATACACTTACTCGAAAATAGTGAAAATTGCTGTTAGAGGAGAAGAGAGGCAGCTGAGTGTCCTCCACATGATAAGTGTAAACAAGTTGAGATTAAATCTCGTCAAATGCTCCGAAAAACCCGTAACAGTGATAACGGTTATTTACTTAGAAGGGAATAAGTAGAAAGGCGTTTAACCTCATATTAGAGTGCGAAAATGAACAAACCTTTTCTACACATAGAGTTTGGTCTCATATTGATGGATCTCTCATACTTACGTAACATTCGTTGTAGCGATCAGTAAGAATATACTGATATCAGTCACTGTTGTAATAGTTTAGAGAGGGACTACTTTATTTCGAACACTGAACACTGATTACTTGAATGTGCGTTTCTGTGCATCACTTAATCCCATAACAGGTTACACATAAAAAGAAGATATTTCCTAGGTCCATAAGATGATTAAGATAATATTGTAACGACAGAAGACAAAGGTCAGACAGCAGATCGTTCACTGAGGAAATCAACAGATATTTATAGATTTTTATGTACCTTATTATTCGTTATTACTAGCAGAGAAACAGCGTCTTCTGATTGGCTGTTTTCTCTCTGAAAGTTAATCTGTCATCTCTTTGTGATCATTTCTTTGAAGGCAAGACCATATATCTGCTAATCGTATCCGCCCACGCAAAGTCTGCCGTGATTAGTCGCCGAGCTAGTCTTTGTTCTTTGTTTTTCCTCCTGACCAAGATTCGGGACGTAAACATTGACGTAAATTGCTGTCTACCAATTTTGGCTAGCAGACATCTCTCGCCACAACATGACCGTCTTAAAACAAGCTGTGCTTATCTATTCAAGGTTCATATATATATATATATATATATATATGCTCAGATACTTGGAATAAAAGTAAAGTCTATTAACGTTTAATAAAAAGTCCATTTGGTAAAAGAAACTCCTGGTAAGCATACTGTAGATATGGTGACGATGTTTCCACTATCGGCTATTAAGGAAGATGGTATTTACAAATTTATCTGCTCAGAATAGAACCCGATTCCTAACCAATAGATCTAGGAACGCACACTATGAATGTAACGAGCTAATTAGGTGTCCTTGAGTGCGACGTTGACACTTTTGGTATGGATGGCATAAAAGATAGTGTCCTCGAAAAGATCAACCAAGTAGGCTTTACTGGCTTCTTGGAGAGCTAGCTAGGACTGCCGAGCTGAGCTCTAGCATTGCAAGTGAGTCCTGGGCGATCTCATGAACAAGACGCTGGAGAGATGTTGACAGTCTACCAATCAAAAGTTCAATGCTTTTCTGGTAACAATGGATTTTACGAAGATTAACAGTTCCTGTCCTGTTTATATGCGGTTTCTTAACTCCACCAGTAGCTGGTGTGGTTTCATGGGCAGTTTTGATGACCACCTGCTCTCTTGGGGCCTTTCCACAAGAAGATATGCGTGCAGGCTGGTTTGTACTAGCCATATCTAAACACCAAGAGACCATTCAGTTACATGTACATATATATATGTTAAATGTTCAAATATGAATTCAAAAATGAAGAAATTTAGTCATATATTTACACAGATCGAATTTCACATAATGAAAGTAAAGATTTTGTATGTTTATTTTTCACACTATAAATATTTATCTTCGTAAATTCAAGCATACCTTTGATACACATATGAGTAACATTTGTGTGGACTTTAATTTGAAATGATCTCCACGTTTATCCGGTATTATTTGATACTGATATTATGCCTTACTCTGTTGCCTATAATAAAAGGTACGTTTGTCTTAGTGTTAAATGTCAATTGTTAATCGAATTGTCGTAAATCCTTTGCAAGATTCATTAAAATTACTAGAATAGTCAGGATGTTTAAAAACTGCTCAGGATTGCATTTCACACTTAGTAACTACTAGGCCATAGTGGTAGAACACTCGCCAGCCGTGCCTCACGTGGTCTGGGGTTTATCCTCGGCTGGCGTAGTCCCAAACCTTGCCAAGTCCTGGTAGTAGGCCCAGCCAAGAGGGAATATCGAGTGTGAGGCTAGCAAAACCACACTGTAAAAGGAGATCAAAACAACTGCTAGTTATTCTGTTTCCAGTTAAAGTCCTTAGCGATTTGTGCACATTTGTGTGAAACATTTCTATATTATCATGGTTTCATATCTATACAACTCATTGTGTGATCCATTTTCAAATACTTATCATGATGTCAAGAACGCTTTTTGAATTACTGCTTGGTTAGGAGAAAAATGGACTTTGTAAATCTCGCATAATTAGACTGACACTCTAATACAAGTCTTTCAGGTCAATTTCTACTGAAATACCACTAATTTAGCTATTTTTATGTACGATTCATGCATAAGAGTGGAATAATACTGTACGTTAACAAAATATTGTGAAATAAGGTATCCATTACAACTGATATCCATTGATGAGAAATGTCAAAGGCCGAGAGTTTAGTAATCTCAAACCAAGGTATGTAATAACAACAGGCGTTTAAAAAACTCTCCCTGAATAGTGCAACCCTTGAAGGACAGGAACCAACCACTCGATGAAGGCAGCGACTGTAGAAAAGCCATATTTGGACGTTTTTAACACATGGCTGAGCTTGATATTGGAGTCGCCACACACACACTTTAACATCAATGACGTAGGCGGCAACATCCTTGAGGATGTTCAGGTCGTATTTGCAAAACAATAAAGGAGTTTGTATGTAGTGTTCGACGTACGAATCTAGTCTGTAGGCTCCAGAGTTTATCACCAATGATATGACAAATGTCGTTGTCTTTCTTGCACCGACTGATTTCAGCATGATACAAATTTAGGTATGGCTGTCATCTTTCAACCGCAAAATTTATACATGAATATACATGCTTATAATAAATAGGAAAGGAAATTCCGGTTGGAAAAAAATCCAACAACCGAATGGTAGCATGCCATCCTCTTGATATTATGCAATGTTCCAAAAGCCAAAAGAAGCAGAAATGGATCTTTTGGAAGAAACTTTCATCCAAAATGAATATCCAAGAAGATTCATAGACAAGAATAACCAATGAGAAGTTCATAGGGATGAAACACTACCTGGATTTCAAGGTACACTTAACCTACCATATTCTGATGATGAGGAGAATTTAGGCTTCAATATGAAGAAATTTTCATCCCAGCAACACAGACAGTAGTGTTCTACAGTTGCTCACTGGTATACAGAAGCTCAAGTGACATGATCTCCTATCTGACCACTTCCATGTGTGTATATCAACTCATATTCCACTGTGAAGGCAGTTAGATTGATCGTTCGACGCGGTTGCTGTCTAAAAGGTTTGAAGAACACTTTCGCACATTGTTGCTGAAAAGTAGTATTGCCTTTTATGGGAGTTTGATTGTCAAAGACCTTGTTAACACTGTTCATCCATGAACGATGATAAAATTGTATCTCCTGATAACCATTGTCGTCTTACCATGTTTGTTAATTTATGTGTCCATTGAGCGTATTAATATATGTGCAAAACTTGTACACTGTGGTAGTAAGTAATTCCATATTAGTTTGTTTATTAGATGGATATATCACACAGTGTGGGACAGTATTATTTACTGGATGACACAGTTTCAAACAAAATTTATTACCGTTCAAAATATATATATATATGTGAATGTTTTCGCCATATTTTTTAATTGGTAAATTTGTTCTCTACTGAGTAATGTGTTTGTTAATTTCTGGTTCATTTGAATACCAGGCTTCTAGAAATTCAAGAACATTACTTTTGGTGTTTTCCCTCCTGTTTTGAAATTTCTACATTCTCTTCCATTCATCAAATTGGTGACTGTAATTGTTTACATCATCGATATGAAAGGTCACACACACGCATATCGTGTCTTTTCACGACTAATTTGCGTTATTGGATTAAGATTCGAAAAAGGACGCCCACTTTGACCAGCGTAGTATTTATAACACTTTATACATTGAGTTTATTTTGTAAAAAACGGTATTGATGCTCTTTTTCTGTTGAAACCTTTGATCTGCACAAGATTATTGAATGACTTAATCGTGTTGGTTGGCCTGTGTACTATGTCTGTTTCAAATGGTCTTTGTATTCCCATGGTTACTTGAGAGACATTTATATATTCTTTGTTGCATAGTAAAGTGAATATTCTTGTGATGTTTAATGATTGTTTCTTGATGGCATTTTGATTTGAGTTGAAACACTTTTTGACCAAACAAAAAATAAGTCAAAACACAGTTTCTGTTTTTGTTCAGCGAAGAAATTTCTCTTCAACGACTACTTCATTTTCAAGCAACTGTACAGTCGTATTTATACAACACAGAAAAAGGTTACTAACTGGCACTAGATAATTCCTCAGTCAATATACATATCATAAGTGATAAGAATAATGATAATTAAAATGTTATAAGGCGTAGAGTTGAAGTGGATGGATTACAAAATTATTAAAGATTGTTTTATGAGTGAATTGATATCAAAGATGTTTTAAAATTGTCAAGTATTGTCTAAGACTTTTAGAAATTAGGAGTACGATTAATGATAAGAATGAAGATGTGAAGTGAAGTGGAATGAATTCAAGTGGTACCTTTAGGGAGAAAGAGAAATCTTATTCATTCCTTATGCTCCAGAATTTGTAAAATCTGCTCTGCAGAGACAATCGATAGGGAAGTAGATAACCTTCGATCAAATCTCCTTAACAATGGTTGTCCTATAAGGTTCATTGAACCTTACACCAAGAAAGAATCCACCCCTAGACAAATCACAGTTCCAAAGAAAAAACTGTTTATGAGTCTGGCATTCAAAGGTGATACCATTTCGGAATTGATTAAAAATCGTTTATTTAAAAATGTATTTAACGCACTTTTCCTGCAGCTGACTTACAACTAGTTTTTACCAGCCGAAACATGATTAGACATTGCGTCAAGCATAGATTACCGCTTATGTCCACATCTATGTTCTTTAACCTGCTCTTGTGGAGCCGATTATATTGGACGTTGTAAGCGTAATCTCCGAAAACGTGTAGCTGAACACTATCCGGTTTAGTCAATGAAAGGCGAACGTAGAACTAGTTGCAAAGCAGTCTATTTGTGATCACCTGTTAGAGTCTGGTCATTTAGCCCCATGTGATTCATCCTTCAAGGTTATCTACATGGCAAAGTCGAATCGCTCCAAAAGTTTACGTTTTCTTCACTTGCATAGCCGAAGCTTTAGCTATACATGAAAAGAAACCTAAATTATGTGTGTTCAAAAACGTTTTGTCAAACCCCTTTCTTTACCTTGGTCATAGTAATGTTCCTTCTAGTTTTTATTTTATTTTTTACCACTTTAATTCATTCCACTTCACTTTACATCTTCATTCTTATCATAATCGTACTCCTAGTTCTAAAAATTTTAGACAATGGTTGACATTTTTCTTTTAAAAATATTTTCGGTATCGATTCACCTATAAAACAATCTTTAATAATTTTGTAATTCATCCACTTCAACTCTACGCCTTGTAACATTTTAATTATCGTTATTCTTATCACTTATGATATGTATATTGACTGAGGAATTATCTAGTGCCAGTTAGTAACCTTTTTCTGTGTTGTATAAATACGACTGTACAGTTGCTTGAAAATGAATTCGTTGAAAAGAAATTTCTTCGCTGAACAAAAATCACTGTGTTTTTGTTTATGAAAAAATAGGTCACGGGACAACTAAGTTTAGACTCTAAGTCAATAAAAATGATCAATAGAGATGTAAATTAACAAACAATGAATGACGACAATAGTTGTCAGGAGATAGAATTATATCATCAGCCGGGAGAATTCAAATAGGTTCAGTTAGCCTGAAGATGTTTCCTAGAAGAGGGATAACGACAGCACCTCAATTATAAATCGGCAAGTCGAGAGAACAGAATTAAATGGAGTGTAAAAATTAACTTTCAATTGAAGTTAACGATATTCTTTTATATCTTTCTTGGTTGTATAATAAGTGAACCCAATGTAAATATACCCAATGCCTATCTATCCTATTTATATCCTAATAAAGCTGTTAACGCTGCCGGAGGTGAGTTTTGCAGTGGTCAAATAATCTATATTACAAATTATATTTGAGTTTTGTGACAGTGTGTATTTACATCCCAAGGATATTTATGTCACTAATCAATTATAACATTTTGGTTACACAACTTAGCCAAAGAAAAACAACACCAACAGAATTCAGAATATTGAAGTATTGGTTTGTAGGGATTTGACTGGCTATAGGATTTCATCATGAGCTGACATCAGCTAGAGAACCATTGGAAAACCAGCTGGTTCCTAGTTTGAGACTCTTCACCAGTACTCACACACCGCCAGGGTTCGAACCCAGGACCTTCTGCTTACAAGGACAGCTAGCTCGTAGACCATTAAGCCACTGTGACCGAATCCAATGGTACATGAACTCTAACTTCTGCCAATTCAAGACATAGCGCGACCCCTAGCCAATGTCTTCGGTGAGTATTTGTCCTCAAACCCGACCTGCTGCACCCTACTGGTCACGACTTCTCACTAGAACCCCGGGTAACTACTACCTACCTGAATAGGGCAAGTCGCTAGTGAGCATCTCATTGATATTCAAGTGTTGGTTCGTAGGGATTTGGTTGATTGGTTACAGGATTTCATATTGATTTTGTTTGTTAAAATGACTCTTGGCAAATACAGCACCCCCCCCCCATTATAATTCAGGATAAGTAATCAGACTAAAGAACTATAGAAACCTAGGCTTACTAGTTCACCACTAAATCAGTCATTGTAAAGTAATTCAAAGAGGAAGTTAGCTTTGTCATTTTGTCATCCTGCTGAAATTTATTTAGATTAAGCCAAGAGATAGATACAGAATATAATGCTGTATACTACCCATACCCAGTCGACACCGCTTTATCTACTGGAATTTATCTGTCGTATGCTGATTAATCGTCATCATCGAACAAAGCATGGAATGGCAATCAAACCTCCACCTCAACTATATAGACTTTGAGAAGGCCTTCAACAGTGTTGGCCGCGAAGTAATTTGGAAACTACTAGAGTACTACGCGTACCCGAAATATTCATCAAATTTATTCAACAGCTGTAAGACAATGGCACATGTCAACTGATTCACAACGGAAAACTCAGCGAGGCTTTTGGAGTAAAGTGAACACAGGAGTCACACAAGGGTTCTTATTATCACCAGTGATATTCCTAATTGTGGTAGACTGACTGGATTATGCGTCAGAGAGTGGGAAAAGAGATGACAGGGATATCCTGGACCCACGTGAAGAACCTAGAACCTAGACCTGGATTTCGCGCGTGGATGACTTATGCTTGATGTCACTGTCACAAAATCGAAACTTACAAGAGAAAACTGACCGACAAACTGGTCGAAGAAGCAGTCGGCGAAGACAGGAATCCAGGTGAACATAGACAAGACGGAGATTATGAAAATAACCAACAACAACAACAGAAACATCAAGCGCCAATCACCATCAACGGGAGGGATTTGAAAGAGGTTACTTCATTCATTCACTAACCTAGGGAGCATTGTCCTCCTCAACTACAGGCAGTCGGAACGGACGAAGATGTCAAATCGAGCGAGAATCGGGAAGGCGAGAAACACATTCATCAACCTGAAACCAATCTGGTAAACTAATCTTCGTCACTCAGCTGGCATCAACAACAAAATTCGGTCGGATTTTCAATACAAACAACATCAAGTCAGTCAGTCAGTTCTTCTATACGGATCAGATACTTGGCGGGAGGGTGACAAACAATATTAACAACAGCCTGTTGCAGACGTTCATCAACCAACAACTGTCTTCGCTGGCTCTATACTGAAGATCAGATGGCCGGGCCGGGCCGGAAAGAATCACCAACAAGAAACTATGGGAAGAAACAAAACAAGAAGCAATCGCCCAACAAATAAGCAAGAGAAAGTGGGGACGGATTGGACACTCACTCGCTGAGGAGGCCGCCGGGTGATATCGCGCGCGTGTCAGACCATTGCTCCAGTGTAACCAGGCCGGAAGGAAAGCGGCGAGCGGAACATCAGTCCATTGGTGACATGGAGGAGATGGTGTTAAGAGGAGTTGAAAGACTATGGACTAACATGGATGCAGACGAAAAGTACACTGGAAGACAGAAGCAAGTGCAGACGTGCATTTGAAGGTCTATGTTCTACTAGGAACCCAAGTGAACAATAATAATAATTAATGCTGATTTTTCTAACATATGGGTTGTATTACTGTCCATTGTCTGTACTTAGGAGACTTCTTTCGTTTCCCTATTTTGCAGCACAATGCAGCTTGTAGATTTACTGATTAGGTCAATCTCCAGTCATATGATGTCATCTAACTGGAAGAATATCCTTTTGCTTCATTATTATTGTTATGGGCATTAATTAATGTTACTGGTTGGCCGGTCAACTAAACAGCTCACTTAATTATTCTTTGTTGATAGTCACTTGCAGTGGAATCCAGGACTTGCACTTCATCCAAACTGTGACTCGAGGCAAGCAGCCATCGTTTTGAACACTTAAGCGTTATCCACTCTGGGCCTCTAAGGTCATGAGAGCCACCTTTCGTGCAACGGGTATTAGTTCTTTTTTTGTTTAAATCAGTTTGTTTCCTCCAACACATTGATCTGACGGAAATAGTCGGCCATTGCTGATACGTCAGCTCATGGTACAAAGGAGTTCAGCGGGCTTATTTCGTCCTATTTGATTTAGAGCCAGTCAGCCTGATGTACCAGCATTCCTCATTGATCGGCGGTGTTCACTTATCGTACCACTTAAAATATTTAATTTGCAAATCAAAAAAATTATTACATTTACAGCATTGAATCCATTTACTTTGGTGAATTGTAAAATGGCAACTATTAGTCCGCTAATATAAGAGAATAATACTTGAATATTAAGATTATACCACGAACCGATATCAGTTGGAGAAGCACTGAAAACCACGGATCACTTGACGGCTGTTTCGTCCTAGTTTGGGACTGGAGGTTAGTACGCACGCACGCACCCCTAACCCCACAGGAAATTGAACGCAAGACTTTCTGGTTGCAATTCAAGGTCACTAACTATTCAGCCAATTGGACCCCACTCCAACTTCTACAAATTCATGATTTCATGCATGACTGATGCCAGTCAATCTTATCTCTGGCAATCATTTTTCCCTCATTCCTGACCAGTGGTTCAACAACTGATTTCAACCTGCTATCAAACTTCAAATAATAATAATAATAGTAACTCAGTATTAAAAGTCTATACGTCACTTCTTCTATACGGATCAGAAACTTGGCGGGCGGGTCACAAAGAATATTTCCAAAAGGTTGCAGACCTTTATTAACAACTGTCTTCGCTCTATACTGAAGATCAGATGGCCGGGCCGGAAAGAATCACCGACAAGGAACTATTGGAACAAACAAATCAAGAAACAATCGCCAACCGACAAATATGCAGGAGAAAGTGGAAATGGATCGGACACTCTCTGAGGAGACCGATGGGTGACATAGCGCACGCGTCAGGCCATTTCTCGAGTGGAACCAGGCCGAAAGGGAATCAGCGAGTGGGACATCAGTGCAAGGGTGGCATTGAGAAGATCGTGTGAAGAGGAGTTGAAAGAGTATGGACTAAGATGGATGGAGGTGAGAAGTACAGCAGAAGGATGACAGAAGCAAGTGGAGACGTGCAGTTGAAGCCATATGTTCCAATAGGAACCCAAGGGAGCAATAATAATAATAATGCGTCATGTAAATATTACTACTCATGGTGATAACACAGTTGATCATGGGATTCGAACAAAGTGGTTTCTGGATTATTCGTCAGTCAATCTCCTAAATAATCTAACAGACTTGGCGGTTATCACAGACTTTGCCAAGCTATTATGTGAGTAAACAATATATATATGCAACTGTACGTTTATCACTACACGAGCAGCTAAGCTATGGCCGCTTTAGTGTGGTGAGACCTGGCTACTAGCCGAATTGGTGGACAGTTATTTACGTCAATGTGCACGTCCCCGATATATTGGTCATAAGAAAAGAACAAAAACAAAGACTGACTGTCTCAACAACCAATCACAGCAGACTTTGTTTGCGTAGACGGATACAAATAGCAGATACATGATCTGACCTTCAAAGGAACAGTCACAAAGAGATGTAAGGTGAGAAACAACCAATCAGTAGACTGTGTTTTTCTGCTAACAATAATCTAAAATAATGTACATGAAAATCCATAAATATGTGTTGATTTCCTTAATAAACGATCTGTCTGACCTGGCCCACGTCTTCTGTTGTTACAATGCATGATGATATCCGTTGTTTTTTCTGGTTAGTTATTTATGATTTCAGGTAAGTTGGTTCTTTCTTAGCTTCACAATTATGTTATAGCATCACGTAATTTTGTTTATGGTTAAGCCTTCAAACAACAGAAATTGTATAAATAGTATACAATATGGTTTAAAGTGTTTTAACAGATAAGTTGATAATGAAAGTTAGCAAGAGTTAGTTTGTAGGGATTTGATTTGATTCAAGTTTCATAACGGATAGAGAACCTTCCGAAAATACCACTGTTTCTTCCGTCTAGCTTGTGACTCATCGACAAAAAACCCACCCACCATGAGGGAGTGCTTGAACCAATAAGTCAAGCTCGCTCGTACACAGTTCATCCACTGAGATTGAGTTCTAATGGCCAGTCCACGAATTAGAACTTTTACTGATTTGTGACACTAGCCATTATCATCACTAGCGAGTATTTATCCTCACTGCCAACCTAGTGGACTCCACATATCATGACTTCATCCTGCAGCCAGTTACTAGCCAGCATCTGATTGATTTTCAAGGGTTTGTTTGTAGGCATTTCGTTTGTTTCAAGTTTGACTACGGTTTGATATCTCAGTTAGATAAACACTGAAATAATAATAATAGTAATTTAATAATTCTTCCTTCATGTTCCAAGTGGAACATAGGGCCTCAAGCTAGAGGCTTGAAGTTTCTGTAGCGATGTTTAATTTTACAGGATGGGGTTGCTAACCTCATGCCCAACCTTTCCTCTTTACCAGCATTATTTCTGGCTCAGCGAGGTAAAGGAGTGCGTCTGTGGCCGGGGATCGAACCCCGGACCATGTGCATGTTCGGTGAGCGTCCAAACCGCTGTGCCACCGACGCACATACCCATTGACTGGGTAATGGTGTTCAGGAAAACCAAACACATCCATCTCTGCCTCTTGAGAGACGAGACCGGCATGCAGGATCATCCTGTGGCGCAACCACTCGAGAGCCCTCTCCCTCGGTGGGCCATTCGCACCGTTTGTATAAATAGTAATGCATAGGTTAGCACCGTTACGCCGATCACTTATCGCGTCAATCAATTATATACATATATGCAGTATTAAACGCTATTCGGAACAATATTAATCACACACAATGGGAACTTTTCAGTATTACACATTCAGATGAAGGAGAGATGAAAAATATCCAGTTACTAGACAAGGTAAAGAAAGACTGATAACCACTTCTTTCTGGACTCATAAATCAGGTTTCAGGCACTTGATGGAAATGGCTTCATAAAACGAACTTAAGGAGAATTGAGCTCTTTTGCCCATTGATAATTTTGAACGACATTTTGACGTCCACCTCATGATCTGTGTCGAGGAGATACCTCGCAATGGCAATGTTTAAAGCATTTGTTCCCCTTAGACGTAAGCTTTTTGGTACATGTTCAGAAAATCGCAGATATGCCCTTCTTTCTGTCCTTCCAATGTAACTGCTCCCGCAGATACATGTAAATTTGTATACACAGTTGGAGGTAACATGAGAAGGATATCTATCGATTTTTGATTGCACCAAAGAGAAAGTTGTTCGATAGACGGGAACGAGCTTAGCTGCAGGATACGCTATGGCTAGTGATGTACTCAGCCTTCTGTTGATCATCGCTGCAATATTTTCACCTTTATAATCAAGCTGAAAGTAGATTGGCTTTTTTCACTGTGATTTGTTTTATATTTGTGACCTCAGACCTTCCATACTTGTTGATGAAACTCTGAGGGTACCCACTGCTCTTCAATATCTTTTCAAGAAATTCCATATTAAACTCAATGTTGGTATGTGCATCAGTGAATAATCCGAATAGGTGTGAAGCATGACTTTCATTTTTGCACACTATAAATGTGTCATCAACATATCGACAGTAGGAAGTTGTTTCGTCGATTGCATGCCTCAACTTTGTTCTGCTAAAACTGTATTTCTTGCTCTGTTCAAATTCATTAAGGGGAATAAATGTAGGAAACAGGTTTAAGGAAATCAAACACGACAGTCAACCTAGAGATCTATTTTGGAGAACTGAGATTTAATTGTAGTTAGTGAAAAATGTTTTTAAGATAAAAAGTTTTGTGAGGTCAAATAGAATTTACATTATGTAAAAAGTCACTATATTGTAAAATACTATTTGCTTTACTCCAACCTAATCATCAGCCTTTGGTTAATGAACATGCTTACCACTTCCATCTATGTTTCATCTTATGCCTTCATAGAGGACTGCAAGTCCTCCAAAGCCTGTTTTTTGGCACACTTATAACACAGGAGAAAAGCTGATTTTTGCATTTTAAACGGTTGACAGGCTATTGTTCCTTCAACTTTGGTAAGTGTACTTGGGATTTTTGTTGTATTGCATAACGTGTATAGAATAACCTGCTGACTCGATATCTTTCTGTTCTGGTGATTTTAATTCCAGGTAAACGCATTTATTGACATGTGTAATCTTATGTAGTATAGTTGCAGAATACCGTGACAGTTTGGCTTTTTTTCCCTTCAGATACTGTAATGTGACGACACTGAAATACGCTGGAATTTACTTAAAGAAAGAAATGATTCATCCACATATTTCTTAGAGGAATAATACGAGGCTTTATCAGCAAATCGCCATTTTACTGCGTTCGCTGCAGTCTTTTAATAGCTGGCTCTACTTATGTCCATTTCTTTCTCATCATATGGTTTCTTTTATGTCGATTTCGGACGTCTAATTCGTCGTTTCACTCCGCCCCCTCCCATATTCGGGTTCCGTTCTATGACCCAGTGCGTGATGTTATTCAACAGTCCTCTCAGTCTATGTTTAATCCACTTCTTTTGCACAAAGTGACTATTAATATTATTATTGTTCCCTTGGATTTTGAATGGAACATAGGGCCTGAACAGTACATTCCACCTCATTCTATTCTCTGCAATCCTTTACAACTGGTTCCACGATTCCCCGTAGTCTCTCATCTTCTCATTGCACGATCTTCATGTCACTCTAGGTTCAACGTTTAATTTGTTTCACATTCCACTTACATTTGAATGATGGCCTGATGCGCAATGTCTTTCAACTGTCTTCTTAGCGTGTGTGTCCTACACGTCTCTGTTTTCCTCTACATATTTGTTGAGCAACAGGTTCTTGACTGGTTTGTCCTTAGTGTTCCTCATTTCAAATTATTTCTCGCCGGCTATTTTATCTTCACTACGGAGCCAGAGAAGGCGGCTATCAACAGAAATCTCCACCAGCCTGTTGGAAATCCATGCTTTTGATGGCACATTCGTGCGTCGATGGCACAGTGGTTAGGACTCTCGCCGACTATGCACATGGTCCGAGGTTCGAGCCTCCACCAACGCACACCTGATATCTATGGTCGGCCCGCAAAATTTGGGCTACCGATATCCATGCTGAAAATTCCACGCCTATACCAAAAAATATGGTGCGGAATCAAGCTGTAATCAAAAGAAAAAAAAGAAAAGAATTGTTTCTAATCAGTATAGAAGAACTGACTGAGTGGCTTAACATTAGTGTTGAAAAGGCGGAGTGCAGAGTGCTGAAGGACTCACCTTTCTGATACAGGCCGGTCTCGGCATCTTTATTCGTACTATCACATAAAACTGAAACGATACTTCCTAGATAGATAGGTGGTGGAAATGTTCTCTTTCAAACTCCTCCCGTTGATAGTGATTGGTGCTGATTGTTGTGGGTTGGTTAACTCCATCACCTCAGTCCCCTCTTTATTCATTACCTTAAGTCCTATCTTCTCTGTCTGCCTTTCCTACCAGTTTGTTGGTTTTGCCTGCAAGTCTTAGAGTTTGTGTGACATGAACCATCCACGGTGTCCAGATCTTCTAGTCTTCTTATTCATCCAGCGTATTCCTGCCTACTCATTCCCCGCACGCAGTCTTCTGTATAATCCAGTCCACCACAAGCAGGATTATCATCATCTTTGATGGTGGGAGGCCAGCTTTGTATTGCTCCTCTCTCTTCACTTCAGAGGTTTCTTCACTGAGCTTTCAATTCTGGATCCCTTGAAATGCAGCATTGTCATTTTGCTGCTGTTGGTTAAGCCTAATAAATAATTGGGGTACTATACTCCTTGGTTTAGAAGTAATTTTCAATTATCGAAAGCTTTTTTCAGTGTCAATGAACTTGAGGTATAAGGTTTGACTGGCATACTCTGCTTGTATAAAGTGATACTAGTTGCTAATTATAAAACTTTTGATTTCTTATTTAACTAGTCCGTTACAGGTGGAAAAGACAGCTATGCATAACCACATAACGCACATGTTGTAATCAAACTTATCATCAGTGCATTCAAGTTAGGAGGTTAATCTGGCCAAAAGGGGATTTTTTTCCCTTCACTTTCCCAGTGGAACATAGGGCTTCAAGCTAGAGGCTTGAAGTTTCTGTAGCAGTATTAATTTTTACAGGATGAGGTTGCTAGCCTCATGCCCAACCTTTCCTCTTTATCAGTCTCACTACTGGCTTAGCGAGGTAAAGAAGTGCGTCTTTGGCCGAGGATCGAACTCCGGACCATGTGCATGTTCGGCGAGCGTCCTAACCGCTGTGTCACCAACGCACTTCAAAAAGGGATTAATCACTCCAATTCAGTAAAGACAAATAACTCTCTAATCATGATTTTAATTGTGTCCATACATGTAGCTCTGTGGATTAAGAAAATACCCTTGAATTATTTCATCGAGAAATTTATGAAGTTTTATAAAACTTATCTGATGATTTATTGAGTACTAATGTCGTATATAGATTCAGAGTTGGAATCCAATGGATTGTTTGTCCTTTTTGTCTAAAGGGACCTTTATATTCCTTTTTGTAATTTTTGGCAACAGGGAGGATTTATGCGCTCGTCTAGCTGGAACTTTCAACTATTTTCTTCAATACTTGAAAGTTAAATATGGAGGCAAACAACCAGGATCTATGTAAATGATTTTGTTTTGATTGTGTTTCCTTTTTTTTGAGTTGTTAATCTTTTTATTTTTAACTACCAGAATAGTTTTTCTCTTATAGTAATGATCACAGAAGGTTGAAAAGTGGAAAAGGCTCCAGATGACTTTTATTCATTTTAAATTTTATGTAAACTGTGTGTAAATATAATTTGATGGTGTCAACTATTACGTGATGTATTCTGATTCCAGTAACCTATTTATACCCTATCCTGTCTGATGAATCAGTGTGTTTCTGTGACATTGAGAGCATAAAGTGAAATATGGTTTATAAGTGAATGGATTATGAAAACAGAAAGATTGAACGAAGACGTATTTACTTTGCATTATGAGCTGACATTAGTTAGAGAACCATTGGAAGACCTGTAATGCAGTACTGGACAGCTGTTTCGTCCTAGTTTTGGACTCTTCATCAGTATGCACCCACCGGGATTCGAACCCAGGACCTTCTGGTTACAAAGTGAGTTAGCTCGTAGACCATGTAACCTTGTAACCAGAAGGTCCTGGGTTCGAATCCTGGTGGGTGAGTACTGATGAAGAGTCCCAACCTAGGACGAAACAGCTGTCCAGTACTGCATTACTGGTTTTCCAATGGTTCTCTAACTGATGTGTCAGCTCATGATGAAATTCTGCCACCAATTAACCAAATCCCTACAAACCAACACTTGAAATATTTACTTTTCAATTAGATCCTCATCTCTTGCTCTAATCGAGTATATATGCATATAGCATTTTTATTACAATACACAACAATTTACCAATCATCAAGTGGCACTGATATGCTTGTTAACTATAGTTAGTGAGTGTCAACATGTCAATGGGTTGATAATAAACGAAGAAAATCAATACAGACAATTAAAAGGTAGAAATGGTTACAACGCGTGGATTGCATAATGCATAATCTTGGAAAAATGAAGTGTAAATAAGGAATAAGTGTGTGCACAGGTTGATTACGTAACAGATTATTAAAGAAAATAAAACGATTTGGACAATGATAATTTGTAACTAAGGGTGAAGTGGTCATAAGAATAAAATAGTTTTACAACGATAACACGTAATTAAAGATGAAGTTGTCAGAAAAAATAAAATAATAATTTGGACAATTATAATTTTTATAATTTTTAAAGCTTTAAAGGGAGGGGGGAGCTAGTCCTGTTAATGTATTCATGTAGCGATGGCCAAGGAAGGTAAGGAACGTGGCTGTACAAATTTCTTCTGAACACACAGGTTTGGTTTCTTCAGGTGGATTCCTATTGCTTCAGCTGTATGTAGAAGGAGAATTCTTTAAGCAAAATTAAGGTTAGTAGGAATGCGATAAATAATTTTAAATGCAGTATTAACGTCAACCTTATGCTCACTATCACTAAGGTGTACTAAAATAGAGCTTTACTATGCTGGATGATGTTTGGAAATATGATGATGAACCAGCCTAAATGTACGCTCAATGTAGCTGGCTCACAGTTGCAGTCAAGCTGGTAGATACACATAGAAGAGGCGAACTTAGGTAGTTTATCCTTATTTCTCGAAAGTAGAATATGGGTGGTTGTGAAGAGACAACGTACCTCTGCTGCATAATAAGCTCTTTTAACTGCATTCTTCAGGCGCTGTATTATTATTTTGCTGATGTTGTCAGCGAGGAACTGCAGTTTTATGAACATTGGTTTTTTCGGAACTGTTGTCATACTAACTCTCTTAGGTGCTGAATTCATATTTTTCTCGATGAACTTGTCTGGATAACCATTTTTTCTAAGTAACTCTCTAATAATCTTAAGCTCCTCATTGAGGCAGTCGTCTGAATAGATTAACCCAGCTCTATGAACCAGACACTTGGCCAGGTTACGTTTATATTTCAAAGGTACAAAACTGAAAAAATGAGTGTACTGACCTGTTGTTGCATGTTTCCTATACACACTCCTTCTTAGTGTGCCATCTTCTTTCCTCCCCGTTAAGACGTCTAGCAATGAGATACTGTCATTAATTTCTTTCTGTATGGTAAAGTATATTACTGAATGGGCATCATAAAAAATTGTCAAGGATTTATTGTAATAAAAATGCTATATGTGTATATTAGAATAGAGTCAAAGATGAAGATCTAATTGAAGAGTAAATATTTCTTCTCTCAGTCCTTTTGTTTTCGAAATGTCTAAATGGGAATTTCTTCTATATTGAATGGATTATGGAGAGGTTTTTGTAGGAGAAGAAGTACTCAAACTTCTTTTGAAATGGAATACATTCAAATAAGTTTTAAGTACGCAATATTTCTAGCAGATTAGTGATATTTTGTAGCAGAACATTTTTTTAAATATATTGGTGCATTCAAGTTTCTGTAGCGGTTTGGATGAGTTTTTTTGGGGGGCGGAGTTGCTAGCACCACGCCCCAACCCTCCTTCTTTATCCGGGCTTGGGACCGGCTCGAAAACTAGCAAGCTAGTAGTCTAGGCGAGGTTATATCAGGTGTGCGTCGGCAGGGGATCGAACCTCGGACCATGTGCATGGTCGGCGACAGTCTTAACCACATTGCCACCGATGCCCCCTAAATGTTCACCAACCTTACTCGACAGCTGTACGACAACGGAACATGTCAGGTGATACACAATGGAAAACTCAGAGAGGCATTTGGAGTAAAGTGAACACAGGAGTCAGACAAGGGTTCTTATTATCACCAATGATATTCCTAATTGTGGTTGCAGATACGCCTTGCTGATGAATGTCAACTTGAGCGAAACCTAGGTCCAAGGTTCCGAGTCGATTGTCTCTAACCATCTAATACCAATAGTTCATCATGCTTAGCAGTTGGCTCACCCATACCTTTTGTGACTTTTCCAGTATCAGTGTTATGAGAGAATATTCATTATATTCTCATATGAGCACACACGTGTTTAGGTACAAAATATCAATCACTAACTAAGTACTACGGCGTACCCCAAATATTCATCAACCTTATTCAACAGCTGTACGACAACGGTACATGTCAAGTGATCCACAACGGAAAACTCAGAGAGGCGTTTGGAGTAAACACACGAGTCAGACAAGGGTGGTTATTATTGTAACAACAGAAGACAAGGGCCAGGCAACAGATCGTTTTATTATGAAAATCAACACGTATTTATACATATTTCACATACATTATTATAGCTTATGCAAGTAGACAAGCGCAGTTATCTGATTGGTTGTTTATCAGAAGTTAGGCAGACAAATGCAGGCTTCTGATTGGTTGTTTCGGGATTCCTCGACAAATAGAGTTCCCTATCTGCGAATCATATTTTGCCACGTTAACTTTACTGTGATTGGTTGTTGAATCAGCCTTGCTCATATTTTCTCACGGCCTGCTCTCACCACAATTATCACCAATGATATTCCTAATTGTGGTGGACTAACTGGATTATGCGTCAGACAGTGAGTGGGAAACGAGCAGACAGGGATATCCTAGACCGACCGACGTGAAGAACCTAGAAGACCTGGATTTCGAGCGTGGATGATTTATGTTTGATGTCACACAAATTGAATACTTACAAGCGAAAACTGACCGACAAACTGGTTGAAGAAGCAGTCGGCGAAGACAGGACTCCAGGTGAACATAGACAAGACGGAGATTATGAAAATAACCAACCAACCAACCAACAACAACAACATAAACATCCAGCGCCAATCACCATCAACGGGAGGGATTTGAGAGAGGTAACCTCATTCATTCACCTATCTAGGGAGCATTGTCTCAACTACAGGAGGTCGGAACGGACGAGAAGGTCAAATCGAGCGAGAATCGGGAAGGCGAGAAACACATTCATCAACCTGAAACCAATCTGGAAAACCAATCTTCGTCACTCAGCTGGCATCAACAACAAAATTCGGTCGGATTTTCAATACGAACAACGTCAAGTCAGTCAGTCAGTTCTTCTATACGGATCACATACTTGGCGGGAGGGTGACAAACAATATTCCCAACAGCCTGTTGCAGACCTTCATCAACCAACAACTGTCTTCGCTGGCTCTATACTGAAGATCAGATGGCCGGGCCGGGCCGGAGAGAATCACCAACAACCAACCAAACTATGGGAACAATTTCTGAGGAGGCCTCGGGGTGCCATGGCGCTCGCGTCAGGCCATTGATGGAGTGGAACCAGGCCGAAAGGGAAGTGTAGAGCGGGATATCAGTGCAAGGGTGATATGGAGGAGATGGTGTGAAGAAGAGTTGAAAGAGTATGGACTAAGGTGGATGGAGGTGAAAAGTACTTCAAAAGACAGAATCAAGTGGAGACGTGCAGTTGAAGCGCTATGTTCCACTAGGAACCCAAGGGAACAATAATAATAATAATGTAGCAGAACATTACTGAATGAGAAGTCATCTGATGAGTAAATCGTGATACTCACAGAGTAACCATACTACAAATACATCAGACTAAATTTCATGAAGTCGAAGAACCTGAGAGACGTTGGTGTTTCGCTGGTAGAATCTTTGTCAACCACTAAAATGATATCGGTTCTATTCCCGGTCAATGCGCTTCTAAATCTGTCTTAGTCAGTAAAAAGTCCGGTTAAGAGAATAGATTGGTCCTGAGTCGAGTAACCCCCCCCCCACCCACCCAACATTACCGCTACTGAAGTTTCAGGGACTAAGCTGAAGTAGTATTCTCCATTCAGAACTTAAAGAAATGGGGAAAAAAGGAATCTAGTGACAATGTATTCATCAAGGCTTCTATAAGAAAATTGAATGATTCTCTCTAATTCGATTAATGTATGGATTGTATTAACTGTGACATTGAACAGCTTTCATAACTTATATGACTAATAGCTTCCATTTACATACAGTATTAGAGCGTTTAAGTTACTGAATGAGCACACTTTCATGCGAACACTAATTTAGAATCCATCGACTGATGAAGCCAACATTTGGAAAACCAGAGAGTATTGCATTGCTGTGAAATGATTGTACTGAGAGGTGAATATTCACCCATCGTTCTGGACAGAATTTGGGTTATTTGGTGAAATGACTTACTGGGTTCACATAAGATTAACTGATAAGTTCTAGCCAACTTTCAAACAACCAGTAATTCTCATAAATTTAAACAAAGCAGGAACAACATGTGTACCAGGGTAATATGAGCTCATCTTTTATTATTTCGAGGATTCTTCTCAACTGGTTACAACCTGAACGTTAAAAAAATATGAATTACATTAAAGATTTGAACATACTTTTCCACGATCACAGGGAG